AGTGCGGTCTTTGTCACGGAGAAGACTGAGACATGTGCAATGGGAGGACTCTAAGACATGTGCAATGGGAGAACTCTAAGACATGGCAAGGGGAGGACTCAAAGACATGTGCAATGGGAGAACTCTAAGACATGTGCAATGGGAGAACTCTAAGACATGGCAAGGGGAGAACTCTAAGACATGTGCAATGGGAGAACTCTAAGACATGTGCAATGGGAGAACTCTAAGACATGGCAAGGGGAGAACTCTAAGACATGTGCAATGGGAGGACTCTAAGACATGTGCAATGGGAGAACTCTAAGACATGTGCAATGGGAGAACTCTAAGACATGGCAAGGGGAGGACTCAAAGACATGTGCAATGGGAGAACTCTAAGACATGGCAAGGGGAGAAAACTATAACACAGGGCAACGGGAGAACTCTAAGACATGTGCAATGGGAGGACTCTAAGACATGTGCAATGGGAGGACTCTAAGACATGTGCAATGGGAGAACTCTAAGACATGTGCAATGGGAGAACTCTAAGACATGTGCAATGGGAGAACTCTAAGACATGTGCAATGGGAGAACTCTAAGACATGTGCAATGGGAGGACTCTAAGACATGTGCAATGGGAGAACTCTAAGACATGTGCAATGGGAGAACTCTAAGACATGGCAAGGGGAGAAAACTATAACACAGGGCAACGGGAGAACTCTAAGACATGGCAAGGGGAGAAAACTATAACACAGGGCAATGGGAGAACACTAAGACATGTGCAATGGGAGGACTCTAAGACATGTGCAATGGGAGGACTCTAAGACATGTGCAATGGGAGGACTCTAAGACATGTGCAATGGGAGAACTCTAAGACATGTGCAATGGGAGAACTCTAAGACATGTGCAATGGGAGGACTCTAAGACATGTGCAATGGGAGAACTCTAAGACATGTGCAATGGGAGAACTCTAAGACATGGCAAGGGGAGAAAACTATAACACAGGGCAACGGGAGAACTCTAAGACATGGCAAGGGGAGAAAACTATAACACAGGGCAATGGGAGAACACTAAGACATGTGCAATGGGAGGACTCTAAGACATGTGCAATGGGAGGACTCTAAGACATGTGCAATGGGAGGACTCTAAGACATGTGCAATGGGAGAACTCTAAGACATGTGCAATGGGAGAACTCTAAGACATGTGCAATGGGAGAACTCTAAGACATGTGCAATGGGAGAACTCTAAGACATGTGCAATGGGAGAACTCTAAGACATGTGCAATGGGAGAACTCTAAGACATGTGCAATGGGAGAACTCTAAGACATGTGCAATGGGAGAACTCTAAGACATGTGCAATGGGAGAACTCTAAGACATGTGCAATGGGAGAACTCTAAGACATGTGCAATGGGAGAACTCTAAGACATGTGCAATGGGAGAACTCTAAGACATGTGCAATGGGAGAACTCTAAGACATGTGCAATGGGAGAACTCTAAGACATGTGCAATGGGAGAACTCTAAGACATGTGCAATGGGAGAACTCTAAGACATGTGCAATGGGAGAACTCTAAGACATGTGCAATGGGAGAACTCTAAGACATGTGCAATGGGAGAACTCTAAGACATGTGCAATGGGAGAACTCTAAGACATGTGCAATGGGAGAACTCTAAGACATGTGCAATGGGAGAACTCTAAGACATGTGCAATGGGAGAACTCTAAGACATGTGCAATGGGAGAACTCTAAGACATGTGCAATGGGAGAACTCTAAGACATGTGCAATGGGAGAACTCTAAGACATGTGCAATGGGAGAACTCTAAGACATGTGCAATGGGAGAACTCTAAGACATGTGCAATGGGAGAACTCTAAGACATGTGCAATGGGAGAACTCTAAGACATGTGCAACGGGAGAACTCTAAGACATGTGCAACGGGAGAACTCTAAGACATGGCAAGGGGAGAAAACTATAACACGGGGCAACGGGAGAACTCTAAGACATGGCAAGGGGAGAAAACTATAACACAGGGCAACGGGAGAACTCTAAGACATGGCAAGGGGAGAAAACTATAACACAGGGCAACGGGAGAACACTAAGACATGGCAAGGGGAGAAAACTATAACACAGGGCAACGGGAGAACACTAAGACATGGCAAGGGGAGAAAACTATAACACAGGGCAACGGGAGAACTCTAAGACATGGCAAGGGGAGAAAACTATAACACAGGGCAATGGGAGAACACTAAGACATGGCAATGGGAGAAAACTATAACACAGGGCAATGGGAGAACACTAAGACATGGCAAGGGGAGAAAACTATAACACAGGGAAATGGGAGAACACTAAGACATGGCAAGGGGAGAAAACTATAACACAGGGCAATGGGAGAACTCTAAGACATGGCAAGGGGAGAAAACTATAACACAGGGCAATGGGAGAAATATAAGGCATAACAATGTCAATAGGAGAAAACTGACACAGGACATTATGAGAAATCTGAGACATGGCAATGGGAGGAATTTAAGACTGGGCAATAAGGGAAAACTAAGACATGGCCATTGGAGAAAACTAAGACATGGCCATTGGAGAAAACTAAGACATGGCTTTTGGGGAAAACTAAGACATGGCTATTGGAGAAAACTAAGACATGGCCATTGGAGAAAACTAACACAGAGCAACATTTCTGTTGACACGCAATCTATTTTGTCCTTGTACAATGTAAATTATTTATTTATTTTTTTTACTCCCGTCCGTGGTGGCGATCGTGAATGGGGTTAACGGCGTTGTCTTCTTCTATCCACCCAGACGAATATGAACGTCAGACCGTGTGTGAGGGAGATGCCATACACATCTCGTGCAACAAGGGAGACGGCATCGCTGTGTACTCGGCCATGTTCGGCCGGACTCCGAACGGCACTGACCAGTGTCCAGCCAACAAGCACGGATACATAGGTAACTACAGCCCCCTCTGTCCACAACGGGGTATTAAGTAAATGTACGGCATCTCTGCTGATTGATTTACACGGGGGAAGAGTTTTGGCTGAAACCTTTTAGTATGATTGTATGTCTGATGTCCTATATTATATTTAAAGGAAAAAAGTCTTTAAATGTTCTTCTTTAAATGATTTTCTTTAAATGATTTTTTTTAAAAATCATTTTTAATGTCCCTCAAAGATTGAGGCGAACTGTTCCATAATTTAGGTGCAATAGCTTCAAAAGAGCCCATACCGTATGATTTCTTTCTCTCTCTGTCCATCCACCCTGGGAACTCTCAGTAGGACTGTGTTGCAGAGCGCAGGTTCTGTAAAGGATACATATTAAAAATCAGTTGTTGTTTGTTTTTTTTTTTGTTTTTTTTTTAAAGATATTCAGGTGCAGAGCCTTCTATACGGCTATACGCCAGGAAAACAACTTGAAAACATCTTGACCTATCGAAAATCAACTACAGAACTTAACA